TTAAAATAGTCAAAAATATAATTAATATATAATAACATGTAGCACTTATAGTAATTTATGAAAGCGACGCAGCGCTCCCTGCCCGCCGGTGTCGCAAGGCCGCGTGGGCGCAAGCAAGTATCCTACTAAATTAAATTTAACTTCAAACACGTCAAATCAACAACTTATCGAAAACGTTTCGACTTTAACCACTTACCGTTTTTAAAATTGATGACAAATCATTACAGTCATTAAAAATAAACTCATTTTTGTTTATTTATTAATCAAACTGAATTTTAAACGTAAATAATTCGCTACGATTCATCTAAGTACTCTATGTCTCTCCATTGACAAAATTTGAATTTAATTGTATAAATATACAAAATTTGTTTTTCACAAGACACAATACCCACGAGCTTTTTACTTTTATAGAAGCGAATGTTATGAATGTTGAAATCTTTACTTTTGGCAACATCCATGCCCATAGTAGGGACGAACGTTTAAGGTTTCCACACAGCAGATAGTAGATCTGATAAGCTGTTCTCATGATTTGTGGCCGAGCTTTAGTAATTCGGCAAGAGCGTTCGCACGTCGCCCGGAGCCTGCGGCCCACCATCCGTCAAATCGACGCGTCTCATATTATCTCTGACGCATAAATTTGCATTGTTTCGCAATATTCAATAGCTGAGAAACTTGTGTCATTTTGGCAACACGTTAGATCGTAGAGATAATCTAGTATAATATTAAGCACATATATTTCATTTATGAGTACGTTAATTTGAAGACTTAGTCCTCTGTATAACATATAAAAGTATTCCTAGAGTCAAGGGTAATGACTTGTGGTAATTATATGTATACTATTAATGGCTTTACTGTTATCTGAATTTTAATCTAGCTCGTAATTTACAATCTTTCATTTATCTACGCTATTACGGTTAAAACGTGTAATAAAACAACAGTAAGCTCGTTTTGATGCCCGAGGACAGGCGTAAAACGGTAACATTAGCGGCTGTGAGTAAACAGATGGAATCTCAGCGGGCACAGTGGCGAGCCCTGGGGTACCCTGCTAACTCGCCAGCATTACCCGGCCTCTAGCCTTCGGGCCTTTTGTAATCATCTCCAGAGCAACAATAAAGCAGACTACAAAACGTGAATAGCTATAAGAGATACATTGCCTCTTATTTATCACAGAACCGCTACCGGAGGTTTGAGCGAACACGGAGTGGAAGACGCACATATAAATATTCATTGATCCAGAATGTTATTAATGTTTTGTTGATGCCGTCGAGTGAAGGATTTTATTAAAGTCATTACGAAGGTAATGAAAGATGTCCCGCGGCCGCGACACGTTATGAAGACGTTGTTCGAGCTAATGAGATAATAAAATTGTTCGTGGGAAGTCCGTAAGTCATTACGTGTGTATGCATTTTTTTAATAAAAGTATAACAGATTGCGGAGGCTTTACGACACACCATTATTGCTTTAAGCGTGGCTAAAAATATTTCTTTAATCATCATTTCATATTGTTATTAAACGCGTATGTTGTGTCGCTCCAGAAAATTACGCGGCCGGTCTCGTGATAAGTGTTTGGTTAACAAATTATTTTAATTTTAAATCCATAACTTTAATCGTTTGACGATTATTTCGCTCCGATTATCGGAAAATAAATAAATATTTTTATGTGATTATAAATATTACTATCATCCTCGCTACGTGTTCATCAAATACGAAGCGTATTATTACGGAATTTAAAAAATAACATAAAGTACCTTTTATAGCAAGATTTTTATAGCAAGAGCTGGTCTCGATTTTATGTACAGAAATAAGCAATAACATAAACTATAGGTAAATATGTTTGTATATATTAATGTAACATCATTTATAGTATAGCAATTGTTAGTCATACTTGCTCAATTGATTATTGTTAATTATAGTATCTCGATTAATTATTATTCATTATTTATAGATCATATTGATTCTTCATATTTTGTGAGTTATAATCTTATATTTTATAATATTAAGTTGATGTTGATTATTTATATTTTATTATATACAATTTTATAATATTAATACAGATATGAGTTTGTTATATTTTAAATATTAATATTTTAAACGTATTGTCATCCACCGCGGGGTGATGTGTAATCTGTAGAAAATAGATGTCGCCACATTACATCATTTTGTAGGGCATTCTTTAGAAGTAATTAAATAAAGTAGGAATTGCTGAAGCTCAGTAGTTTTACTTGGAAAATCATTAGTAACATAACATTATGTTATCTTATCATTTATTATTATTAGTGAAATTTTTGCATTTTGCTTGAGCAAATACCGTCATTTATTTATATCGTCATATTTATTTGTAATAATTGATATAAAATGATTCATCATTTCCACTGTATCGTGTAATAGTTGCTTATTATAATATAAAGAATACAAATATACATATGTAGTTATATCGTATAAATTAAAAAAACCTACTAAAGGTTAACAAAATTACTTCTAATTTGCAAAATTGATACTCAAATCTAGGTCTGTAACAAGTCACGACAGTAATCACGCCGCGAGTTAATGCTTTGAACGTTCAAAATTAATTTACAATCGAAAATTGAGAGCAATTTGATGACGAAACTACCTGTTGTAATGATAGGTGAGTGGCGGCTAGCGGGGCGCGGGTTCGATCCCACGCAAACTTGTCCGATAGGTGACAATTTCAACTGATTTGTTTATCTTCTAATATGCAAATGATTTCAGCTTTAAAATGCCATTCGAATTCATATTATATTGATATATTACGCTGACTATGGCAGTTACAGTCTGTATGACGCGGGTACGGCCGGAATTTGCTGTTTCGCAACTGAGTATTATAATGCGTATAAAGATGTTTGTGCCTAAACGTTACAAAACTGGTGACCACCACCATACACGCAGGATCTAGCGTATCCGGAAATCTAAATGATCTCAGGAATTCCTTACGTCGTTTCGATTTTTGTTTATTTTTCTGCATTCACACTGGTGGTAGGGGGAGTGACTATAGTGACTCATTGTTCCTAACAAAACAGTATGAATGCTTGGATAAAAATAAATATTATGTTGGCACGATTTTTTACAGTCATTTTAAATAATTACCGTATGGAGGATCAAAGAACGCCCACAATCTCCAGCGTATCGATACAGATAAAGTGAGAAACGATAAATAGATCACAATTAATTACTATAATTTAGCTACTTGCATCGTTTTTATACGTCTATCTTTCTTCGGTCTACATACACCGGACTTGTCTAAGGACAAACTGTTTCGTTAAACCAAGCCTTCGCTATCTGATATGCTAAGCTAAATGTTGATTGGTTGTGGTGTACATCTTATTTATTTAAAAATATATATAGATCCATTGAAATCCCTTCAGCTGGTCTCGAGTGATCCACAAGTAAACAGACAGACATCGTTTCTAAAAATATTTTTAATACCATTTCTTTTGTCTTTAATGCATACCATCTCATACTAATACCTACTCGTAGGTATAATATAATGATAAAGTACATATGCGACTAGTAATGCAATCCCGGTAACAGCGTCGTTACTCGTAAAGCACGGGCGGTTTCAAATGTATAATTTCCACAAATCATCGTCCGTCTGTCCGTTCGAGGCGAGCCTTCAGCCTATTTGCACTGGCTTGTGAGAACCATAAATAAAATTGAATTTTGAAACTATAACCACATTATTAATAAGTATAATGGATGCGAGAACATGTCCCAGTTTGCAACACATTCATGGTGAAATTCGTTTAATTTCAAACATAGATAGATATTACATACATTAATATTGTGCTACTCAAACTTTAACGTGTAATTTAATTTATTAATAACTTTGTTACTTTCGCAAGATCTTATACAAAGTCATTCTAGAATAGCATATTATATCTAATGTATGTTACGCAATATCTTTACTCATTTTGAATCGCTTTTCATAATATTTTTGAACTTATACTTATTTTCGCACATTTGGAAAAAAATTATGAAAGTAAAATTTTTACGATGTACGCGCACACCGACAGCCAATAAGTGACATGATGAAATTAGCTGCATTTCTTTTACAAACAGAGAGTAGTGACATACGGGATGAAATCTTTATTATTATTATTATATTATTATTATTTTTGTTCTGTTACGCCAAAGAAGTATAACTTCTTACGTTTGTACATAAGTACACACACACACGTTTTATTTATATAAATAAATTAGCACGCTCAAGAGGAAGTGTCTCCAGGCGTAATGATGGCCAATGTAGCTGACATGTGTTAGAGTGAAGATCACTCTTAGGCAAACATAGTATAGGACGCCCTGCGGCAAGGTGGACCGACGATTTGAAAAAGGTGGCAAGCACGGGATGGAGGCTGTCCAAGATCAGGATGGTTGACGTTCTGTCTGTATATTTCGTCTAGCAGTGGACGGCGATAAGCTGTAAAAAATGAATAAAATTAATTTTATCTACATTTATCTAGAATTAAACAGATTAAATAGTTATAAAATACTCAAGAGCCTCCTACAGCTATAATAACTTTTAAGTGAGATTAAATTCGGTGTAACTTTTTTGTTAAAAAGTAATTATAATGTTTACTAGCGTTTGTCCGCAGCTTCGCCCGCGCTATTAGTTTATGTTTCATTAGGGTTTCGAGCCACCCATCACCTGAATTTTAAAGAGCCCTTCCTTTATGTTCACCTTCATTACAAAAGAAATCTTTATGCAAAATTTCACGTTAGACATAGTCGTTAGGGTTTTAGGTAAGTGTCAATCCCTTTATTTATTCACCTTTTATATATAGAAATGTACTTTTTCTTTTGCAGTATATAATGTGAGTAATGAGCAGAATTCATATACCTACTCTACTTATGTAGGGCAAGAATGGAGATACAAGATAAATAAAATACAAAATTCCTAAAACTCGTAAACGACCGTTGAAGTTTGTTTGTTACAAAATGAAGTTACGATATTTGGTAAATGCGAGTCGTGCACTGAATTTCTAATTGATGCTTTCCACCGAGATAAGTGAGCTATTGTCGAAGACATCAACGCGCGTGTGGCATACCAATAATGCAGGGACGTGCTGCCGCTGCCCCCTGACCCCGTCCGTGCATCCTGCGATGAGCCACTTAGCATTAAGAACATGGCTCAGCTTCGAGACATGAAAATTCTTTTCATTTCTAAAATAATTATTTTAATTGAAAATATCATTCTAATTCTACAAACGGTAACGTAATTTTGCGAATCAATTTTGTACTGTTTTACAAAGAATTTCATGCATCACCTCAAAATATGTGCACAATTCAGGTAATAATTTGCCTTTGCAAAAATTTATAAATGATATTTAATTAACTTTACAATCCTTAATAAAACTATCTTTTCGATTTTTTTCGCGGATTTATTTTGTTTTTTGTTCCCGTCTTTTCGAAAACTTTACTGCAATCATGATCACGGAGAGAGTATATTAGTTAGATAATTTCATTGAAAATGTCAAATATATGCGTAAATCTAAGAAAATATTTACAATACTACTAAGAACACAATATTTATTATATTATATAATAATTTACTCTCAGACCCTAAATACGAGTACGTATTTCTATTTTATTTTTTTATACTATTCAGAATTAGTGCTTGACTACGTTCCACCTGATGGTAAGTGGTAACGCAGTCGTAGATGGTAAGTCGCACTAATTCAGTAGCCACCTATTCACTCTTGCCTTGAAGACAGCCATATTATAATCGGAAGGAAACACAGACGCAGGCAGGATGTTCCAATCCTTAGCCGTACGTATAATAAATTTTTATGATAAAACCAGTAAATTAATCGTGTAATAGTAATAACTGTCCTTTTTAAGTACTTACGAATAATTTACACACTAAGCAATATTCTTTGCAGCATACCTCTCACATACTCATAAGTCACTCTTGACTCTGAATGGTAAGTGTAACACCCGGCTGTGGGCAGTGACAGCGGTAGTTCGAGATACCTCAAGCAGCGGGCCGACGCACTCCCACCCCAACGCGCAGGGCGGTGCCTGCTTCTAATACTACACATATTTTAATAAATATGACTGTTTTTAATTTATACTAATTCTATATAAACAATAAATAAATAGCCACTCTACATAAAATAATTTTTAGAATGCTTTTATATAAATTTAAGACAATAATATCTATATGCTTAGAATTTTCTAATAATTATAACTTAATTGTGTACGTATGATATAATTAAAAATATAAGTTTTATTTCAATTAACTCGTTTAATAACAAGATCGCACAAACGTGTCTAAAAGCAAAATTTGGTATAATTACTGATAGTCGTTAGAACTTAATTTTATTACAGAGATAGCGTTATTTAATATCTTTAAGCGTAATATAAAAACTTTGTGCTAATACAAAAAAAACGCTGTCCCTTTTTAAGAACAAACCCGCCATCTCAGTGACAAAGTACAGAATCAGTCAAGTTGTGTATGATACGTTTGTATAATGTAACTTAATCTAACTGGTTTAATATACAATGTGTTGGTTAGATAAACCTCGCTTCACGAAACAACGATCAGATACTTTTCGTCCCGGCCGGCAGTATCGTGAATCCCGAGAAATATCAACCTTGCAAAAAGTAATTCATGTACCCTTATAAATATATTTAATTTAATACAAAATAAGCACTAAACATTTTGTACTTAAAAATAAACACAACAAAGTATGAAAAAATATTAATAAATAAAGAGAAATAATTTTGACGTTACGAAGATAAAGTTATAGCTCACATTTGCTTCTTTTTATGATAAATTGACCTGCTGTGATTTTATGGGATATAACAAGTTTCAGTGTAAATAAATAAAATTGAATCTGTAATCTCTGCTGAGTATTTGTTATCCTCACTGACTTTCTAATCTTATTCTTTTTATTGTGTTGTTTTTTAAAGTTAAATATAAGCTACATTTAGAAACATATTATTTTGTGTGATAAATGACGGAATTGCCGTCTGTAATACAGGCATCCTAGTACAGTCGACAGTAACATACTGAAGTAAGCACCATATAATTCTGTAATTAGCTTAGTCTGGCCTTATTATTAAGGTACATAACATATGGTATAAAGTTTTTTTTATTATTATTTAATTTAAAACCTTCAGCACTTTGACTGCATCCAGAAGTCGAAAAACCCGTCAATCTTGCCAAAGTATTATAAGTATTCATCGATAAAAATAACGAGCATCGTTGTCGACAAAAACGTAAACCATCTCTGAGAACCAACTCATTTAACGCTCCTATCCAAATTTGACGATTACGTGCTTACAAAACAGCTTTCAAAAGTCAGCGTAAAATTATCCTTATATATTTATACAAAAGAATTTAAAATAGCTTGACAAACTATTCGCGTTAACATGCTATCTCTACCATGTATTGCTGTAGTAAAATTATAATAGTTTACTACTGTCATTAACGAATTTAACATGCTCATAATATTTTTATTTTACATGACATATAGAGCACTATTATTTTTCTATAGAAATATAACAAGATATGACCAAGTGAAGTCTTATCTTATTGTCTAATGTCTTAACACTACGTATACGTATAAGGTCACCAAAGTTAGCATTAAAAGACAACTAAAAATGCAAAGCTTAAGAAAAAGCTACTTACTGATATCCTAATGTTAAAATTTAATTTGATAAATATGTTACACTGAATATTTTGGTTTGTATTGTTTGTCATTCTTTCAAGCAGCAAAGGAGTAACGGAACGTGGTGATTTTCTGCTCAGAAACATTATGAGAAAATAACATAGACTACTTTTTATTCCGGTACATGAAGAGGTACTCGTGATATAAAAGCAGTGAAGATATCTCGGCATGGAAGGTTAGTGAGGCTTAATTAAATATAAGTAAAATAAACAAACGCGTCGTGAGCCTTGTTAAAAACTTTACGCTGTCGCTTGCGAGTATCGAGCACGTTATTTTAAAAAGTAAAGAGAGAAGTCGTTGACCGCGTTAATTGATGTTAATGGGTTAATTTTTACGAGTTCCCGAGAAATTGACCGTCCGTCGTATTGTTGTCACTCAGTGCTATCACGCGCGCCTCATGATGGTCGCGTCGGTCGCATCGCGGCCTTTGTGTCTACTTGGGAAAGCTACTAAATAAAAAAAAAACAATTATTTTTTATTTAAAAACCTTAATCGTATTATCTGCCTTGGAAAAATTGAGAGCTAGACATGACCCCACTTGGTTCTAATGCGGGTGCAACGTGCGGAGAGCGCATGAAACTTAAAAGAAATCTCATTTTTTTTAATTTATGATAATAAAAATAAAGTGTATATAAATTGTCTTATTAACAAAAGATATTTTTTTTACTAGTGACTCACCCTCGGATTCGCTCCTAGGTACGTTTTAACAGTTAGTATAGATTTCCCAGAGATGAAGTATTTTCCCGCAGTAAAAAGTATCTTATATGTTGACCCGAATAAACAGCTATCATCACACCAAATTTTATCAAAAACTGTCCAGTGGTTTTCTCGTGATGCGTTTCCAGACGGATAGATAGACATAAATTCTAAAAACTATAGATTCAGCTTCTGTATTAATAATAATCTGACTCAGTTAAAAATATTATATGTATAGATGATATTTTTAGTGTAAGTAAATTATGTTATTCAAATCCTAATACAACTAAAATAAAATTAGTGTAAGATAAAGTATATCTAAGAAAGTGAAGGTAAAAATTATTTTTATTCATATATATTATAAAAATATAATTTTAAACGCAAAAAATCTAGAAATCAAAACCTGAATGAATCGAGGAAAATGTTGTGTCAGATGTGTAATAAATTTAAATTAAATATTGATTTTTAATAAGTTTTAAAAATAAAATATTTTTTGCACTAAAATGCCCGTCGATGTAACAGCAATTAAATCGTTATATCGATTAACTCTAACGTTCGCAATTACCGATACATACATAAAATATCGTAAAACGATCGTAATTAAGCAATAATATTGGTTTCCGTGCAAAGTGATAAAGAGATAAACGTTTTCCCACGCAACGTATCTCATCATCTCTTTGACTGTCTCCTCCTACATTACGATGATTATTATCAAAATGATTTTACTTAAGTTTCCTGGAATTTAGAGCCAATAATTTCATAATAGAACCGAATTTTCGACATCCTATACTTAAAGTTAAGGATGTCATTTACCTATATTAATATTTACTAACTAGCGACTCACCCTTGCTCCGCTCGGGTTCGTCCCTAGATATGTTTTGATGGTTACTATAAATTTCGGAGAAATGAGATATTTTCCCGCAGTTAAAAGTATCGTATATGTCGACCCGAATCTTTCGTTCGACGTGAAAGAAGGACAAACAAACAAACACACTTTCACATTTATTATATTAGTATGGATATGTATTATGTTGATCAATCCAACAAAATATAAATAAAAGGTACGATGTAAAATTATTATAAAGCTTAATTTTGATTTTATCAACGACACTTGTATATTATCATCAGAGACGTAAAATCAAAAATCTAAAATATCTTAATTTAACTAGAATTTTAGTCCTAGTACATATTCATTTTTTTTTAAATATCAAAAAACATATTAGTAATTTTTGCATATATTATTTTTTGTCATCAATTTTACTAATATAAAAATTATACCTCTTTTATAAAGCTCTTTTAGAAAGCAATAGTAGCCGTGGTAACGCGTGTAACGGTGTGAAACCAAGGAAAATGGGTTCGAATTCCGAATCCCGCTATTCTGATACTTTCATGCGCGAATTATTTTCAACATAATTACCATTACGCTTTAGGCTGAAAGAAAGCACGTGAGGACATATGTGAAATGACAGTATAAACTTAAATTCCCTTTATTCATTTACAGCTACTTTATCGATATTATTTTTATAGTAGTATTTAAAGTTATATATGTGTAGTGTATCAACTATCTGGTATCCATAACACAAGCCTCGTAGCTTACCATGGAACTAGATGGTGATGTGTGTTAATATCTTAAGATATTTATTTATTTATTTACATAGCCAATTTATCCAGAAAGCTTTCACAATAAATAATTTTATAATCTAAATGAAGCACTGCTTCTAATAACGGGTGCAATATCGAACGTGAAGTGTAACTGTCGGCGCACTGTCCTTTATTAAACACATAATAAAGATACGCCTAAAACACCTAAAGTGGCTAAAACATACATTAGATTCGGTAGAGTAAGTAACATTTTTAGTATTCTCTAGTAAAATGCAAACAATATTCTTTCTGAGGCTAAAATGGTCAAAATACTACCACTTTCATTTCCATACATAGGTAGTAAATAATTTAAAATTAATACTTTTTAATAAACTATATATGTGTACAAGTAATATCATGTTCTTACTTAATTAAAGGATAACAAACTGATACTCAAAACGTAATAATTAAACCCTATGCCCCAAAAAATTGAAGCATCGAAACTTTGTCCTATCTTGTAATCTTGAATGTGGGCTTAGTATTTATCGCCTAGCTTTTTATCTATGTTACATATTATATTCTATCTCTATATTTATAGGTATGACACCAAAATGCCTTACAAAATTAGTTATTTAAAACAGTACCCTCTGTTTTCCTTATGCCATATACTCTTGGCACGTCGTATCGATAGATCCAGGTGTCCGGATAAGAGGGACATTGAAAAACTTTCATGTTCACATTAAGCTTGTTTGGACGTTACCGTCACTTAGCGGCATTCAATCGTTATTAATCGTTCACGTTACACGTAACGCAATCGCGTCCGCGTCGGATCCGATCACAAGACTTGGAAAACCGCTTTACAAATTAACTGATGCCCTTTATTTGTCTGTCTGACCTGTACCTGTGTGGTCCACAAACTACACAACACATTATTTTTTATATTATATAATACTATTTATATCAAAAGCCAAGTTATAAAAGATAGTATATACTTAATTTTATAAGCATTACTTCTTTACCCTGGGAAATGACTTTTTGGCTTTCTTTATCGGTTCCTAAAGAATTATTTTATATAGATAAATTAGGTT